CCACAAAAGGGGCTTAGTTGAGTTTGTTTCCATGTAGTAGGATACGCTATCACAATTAGTAATGATCTACACAAAGTTCTTAATGAAGTGGATCACTGCTTATATCAGAATCAGGGAGAAAATCAGAAGTGTTAAGAATTATTTCAACTGGCCAAACACAGTGGCTCACACCTGCCATCCCAGCACTTTGGGAGGCCGAGATGGGTGGATCACGAGGTCAGGAGATGGAGACCATTTTGGCCAACATGGTGAAACCCCGTCTCTAGTAAAAATACAAAAATTAGCTGAGTGTGGTGGCGCATGCCTGTAATCCCAGCTACTCAGGAGGCAGAGGCATGAGAATAGCTTGAACCCAGGAGGCAGAGGTTGCAGTGAGCCAAGATCATGCCACTACACTCCAGCCTGGCAACAGAGTGAGACTCCATCTTAAAAAAAAAAAAAAAAAAAAAAAGAATTATTTCAACTTTGCTTTAACACAAAGGAAAGGGAGAATATGGAAGGAAATGGACCAAAACATTGTCTCCAATGGAGGGACTGGGGTAACTGTAATTTTCTTCTTTAAACTTTTCTGTCTTTCCCCCCTTTTTTTTTTAGACAGAGAGTTTCACTCTTGTCACCCAGGCTGGAGTGCAGTGGCACCATCTCAGCTCACTGCAACCTCCGTCTCCCAGGTCCAAGCGATTCTCCTGCCTCAGCCTCCCAAGTAACTGGGATTACATACACCCACCACCACACCTGGGTAATTTTTTGTATTTTTAGTAGAGACAGGGTTTTGCCATGTTGGCCAGGCTGGTCTTGAACTCCAGACCTCAGGTGATCCACCTGCCTCAGCCTCCCAAAGTGCTGAGATTACAAGCATGAGACACCATACCCGGCCTTTCCCATTTTTTTAATAGTAGGCATCTATAATTTTTTTTTTTTTTTTTTGAGATGGAGCCTCACTTGGTCACCTAGGATGGAGTGCAGTGGAGCGATCTTGGCTCACTGCAAGCTCCGCCTCCCGTTTCATACCATTCTCCTGCCTCAGCCTCCTGAGTAGCTGGGACTACAGGTGCCCGCCAATACGCCCGACTAATTTTTTTGTATTTTTAGTAGAGATGGGGTTTCACCGTGTTAGCCAGGATGGTCTCGATCTCCCGACTTCATGATCTGCCCGTCTCAGCCTCCCAAAGTGCTGAGATTACGGGCGTGAGCCACCGCACCCATCCTATCTTTTATGATAAAAAGGAAAGTAGTATTTTATGTAAGACAAAGCAGACTCTGAGCGTGTTAATATAACTGTGTCCTGAACAGATAGATACTCATTCTGATGTCTGAGTGATCGGATTAGGGCTATCTTCAGAAGAAAGTCAGCTTTGGGGTCAGACGGCGTTCAAAAGTTGACTGCCGCTCCCTAGCTCTGACTTTGGGCAGCTTGTTTGACCTCTCTGCACCCCCACTTGGTTCCCATGTGGAGATGCTAGTGTCCCTAGATGAGAGGCTCTGGCACCTGGCGATGGTCTGGCTTCCTTCCTCATCCGCGCTTCCCGTCCCCACCCCCAGTTTGAGGGTTTCTTGCCTTTCTTCATTCCCCTGGTTGCCTTGATCCTTTGGGGGACTGGGCACTGTCCGGCGAGCTGGGCTCCAATTCTTTCCTTGGGAACAGTGAGCTTCAGGAAGGCCCTTGAGTCCACGCCAGCCCTTTTGGAAGAGGCCTTGCCACCAGGAGGGCAGCATTGTCCTTCAAGAGGAAACTCTGCCGCCCCAGCTCCTGCCTGGAGCCTGGTGCTTGGGGCATTTTGGTTACTAAGGGGACCCTGGCCTGCTAAGTTAGAAAAAGGGGCCAGGTTTTTTCCTATTCTTCAGCCTACTGCCATTGTTGAAAAAGTAAACACTCCACACAGCTTAACCGGCAAGTCCTCCAGCCAGGAGTGGGAAGAAATCAAAAGCCTATTCCAGCCCAGCGGTGGAGAGCCTACAAGGGCTGGTCTGTGCTGCTGGGGCCCAGTGGGAACGCAGAAACAAGGCCTGATTCTGATCCAGAATCAACATCCCATTCACAGGGCCTTTCAGCCCTGGAGGCTTCTCTCCAATGGCCATCATCTCCTGCTGCCTTCTGTTTGGGGCTGTTTGGAAGGTCAGAGGAGGCAAAGTAGTTGATTCTGGGGTGCACAGCCCTCTGCTCTGTCCTGGAGGCGGGCGCGTCCTTCAGGATGTTATGAGTCCTTCTCTGATTCTGTTTCCTGTGACTGTAGGCAGCCTTTGAAGTGAGAGACCAAGCAAGAAGGGGCCCCAAGGATTTTTGCCCTCAGGCCATTGCCACTACAGCCTTCCAGACTGACTGTGGCTATTGTGTGTATTATAAAAGTAGTAATAATAGCCACTATTTATTACATCCTACTGTGTGGCCAGCATTATGGGTCTGTTTGCTGTCATCACAGCAGCCCTGGGGGAAGTGAGAGAAGTAGGGTGGCCACAGTTAGCATTTTAATTTTACAGACAAAGCCAATTAGTAGACACATCACCTTGGGCAAGCTACTTCTTGGAGCCTCAGTTACTCATCTATGAAATGGGGATAATGATATCTCACCTCCAGCCCCATGGATGGAATGAAAGCATCTGTGTGGCAGTGCTCTGTGAGCCTGAGGTGTGACATCAGTGAAAAGGAGGGCTGTTGATGCTATTTTGGTACCTTCCTGCTAGCACACTGCTGGGCATTTGACCTGTTGGGTTGCAGAGTGAGGCAGCTAGGGAGTCCTGGACAATCCCCTGTGAATCTCAGCGTTCTTCTGTGTAAAATGGAGATTATGCTTCAAATAACAAAAGCGCTGTAAAATACGAACTTGTTTTTCGTATCATTAGGTTGGTGCAAAAGTAATTACTCTCTGCCGTTACTTTGGTAAAAACTGCAGTTACTTTTACACCAACCTAATATGATCAAAGTTCTCCATTCGCTGATATCTTTTTACCCTATAAATAAGGCAGCAGGTAATAATGGGTGTTGGGGTTTGGAGGAAAGAATAAACTCCTACATCAGCAATTGTGTCCCTCTTCTGTGGTTCTTAGCACATAGTAAGCACTTAGAAATTGATGGATAGGTTTGTGGACGAGCCCCAGAGGCCTGGAGAAGTTAGTGGATAGCAGGAGTTGGAGGCTTTGATGGTGTTAAGTGAAAAGGTTCCAGGATTCTGCTGCCTGGGAGTGTTTTTTCAACCCTACGAGGCTTGTGACCAGCGTGGCTCCACCCTCCTGCTGGGAAGAATCTTGAAATGTTTACTTAGGTACCATGTTCTGCCCTAGAGGCTGCGATTTAAGAGAGTGAATGTCAACCATATTAATGTGCACTTACCAGGTGTCAGTCATGTTGTCAGGGGCTGGTTATTTTGCAGTGGTGAGCCACAGATGAGCCCCTGAAGGAGCCCACACCCCAACAGGGGAGGCAGAGAGGTGCTGGGGCTCAGAGTGACAAGGGCTATGTGGAGGTCAGTCTCCCTGTGGGTGTCTGACGATGAGGAGGTGGATGGTGCAGTGCAGAGAGCATGGCCTGGGGAGGCAGCCGGGCCTGTGGTTTCTTCTGCCTCTTACCTCAGCGCGCTGAACTTCATCTTCCTCAAGTTTCGAACATTGAGGGCAATAACATCCACTTTACAGGGGTTGGTAAGAATTAAATGAAATAAGGTGAGTGAAGCACAGAGCAAGAGCTAGGAAGCTTCTAGTATATGCTACTTGTCCATTTCCAGGGCATTGGAAACTGGAGCTTGAGCAGCCGTTGGATGTCTGCCTCCATTGCCAGCCTACACCGTGTTCTGGGGTGAATTAGGAAAAGGCATCTGCCCCCTTTCCCCGACTGGTGCCACTCAGCAGGCACGTGGGTTGGCAGATTTCAGCCCTAGCTTAGGTGGTTGGCATCTGAGGAGTGCCTACCTGCACAGCCATGTGCAGCATGCTCAGAGGTTGACCAGTAATGGAATTGATCCTTTATATGCAGTGACCACAGGTCCCATCGTGTGCCTGTTGCCCTGGTGTAAGATGAGGTCTTTCACATCCAAATGTATCCCAGTTTAGACAGCAAATGATAGGATCTTTCTATGCAAAATAAAATAAAGACAAGAGTTCTAAAGCCTCTGACTCAAAAGGAATGTGCTTGATATGTAATGGGGAGGGAGGATTGAATGGGACCAGGAGTGGCGGGTAGGCAGGAGAAACACAAAGATGGATTCTTAGTAGTGGATAAGTAGTGTGATTAAAAATTTGAAACTCGGGCTACACCCTGTCTTGGACTCACACAGGCTATGGGGAATTGCTGCCAGATTGCGGGGAGGATTCTTTTTTTCTCCATATTGTCCGTTCATCCCTTCTCCTGTCACCAATCATGAAAACCTTGTAGGCATGAGTTTCCCTCATCTTTTCTATTACTGTGCCAATAGAATAATGGCTTATGGCCAGAGCTTCTGAGCCATTACTAGCTGGATATCTGTGGAAAATTGAACCAAACTGAAAGTGTGACCTTCCTACTTGGCATTTAAGGGAAGTGTTAACAGTAGGCCACACACAATATTCCATACCCAAGAATGACAGGATCCAAAAGAGAGATGGGCAAGTAGCCTTTGTTAAGTTAGGGGGCTGGATTGAATGGGGATATCACGAGAACATAGCCATATATCAGCATTCCTGGGGCCAGAGCTTTTGACCTCAGCGTCTGTTAAATGTATAGGGGAAAAATGATGATGGGATGTAATGATCCCTCTTACTTTCTGGCTGTGTGACCTGGGGCATGTTACTGAGCCTCTGTGAACCCTTTTCACTCCTGGTACTTGGGGATAATCATGCAAGCTCACAGAGATTTTATGAGAGTTCAGTGAGCTAACAAATGTGAACCTCCTACCATTGGGCCTGCTGCAGAGTAAGACTTTGGCAAATGTCACTTTTCTTCTCTGTGCCTCTTCCCCAGAGAAGGCAGGGGAAGTGTGTCTTGATGGCACCTCAATGACCTTCTCTTCTGGATTTTTTTCTCCTTGCAGAAAGTCAGAAACATGGCCCTGGATGATGTCGTGATCCTGAATGTGGACACCAACACCCTGGAAACCCCCTTCGATGACCTCCAGAGCCTCCCAAACGATGTGGTAGGTATCTGAGCTCGCGAGGATCTAACTTCTGTGAGCTCCTGCAAAGAAATGAACGTGACTTTGGGAAATGGGGAAGGAGAGGAAATAGCCAAGGTTTTCCTGTGACCTGAGAACTGCAGTTTGTTTCTCCATTGAAACCTTTGTCTCAGTGTAGAAAGTTAGAAGGTGACCGGGCGCGGGGGCTCACACCTGTAATCCCAGCACTTTGGGAAGCCAAGGCGGGTGGATCACTTGAGGTCAGGAGTTCAAGACCAGCCTGGTCAACATGGTGAAACCCTGTCTCTACTAAAAATACAAAAATTAGCCAGGCATGGTGGCTCATGCCTATAATCCCAGCTACTCGGGAGGCTGAGGCAGGAGAATCACTTGAACCCGGGAGGTGGAGCTTGCATTGAGCTGAGATTGTGCCACTGCACTCCAGCCTGGGTGACAGAGTGAGACTGACTCTGTCTCGAAAAAAAAAGATAGAAAGTTAGGGCCCACGCCTGTAATCCCAGCACTTTGGGAGGCCGATGTGGCGGATCATGAGTTCAGGAGAGCGAGACCATCCTGGCTAACATGGTGAAACCCTGTCTCTACTAAAAATACAAAAAATTAGCTGGGCGTGGTGGCACGTGCCTGTAGTCCCAACTACTCAGGAGGCTGAGGCAGGAGAATTGCTTGAACCTGGGAGGTGGAGGTTGCAGTGAGCTGAGATCGCTCCACTGCCCTCCAGTCTCGGTGACAGAGCAAGACTCCATCTCAAAAAAAAAAAAAGAAAGTAAGTTATAAGGTGGTTTACTTTTTGAGTCTATTTTGCTCTTGAACTTTTATAAGAAAGACTGTGAAGCGACCTTAGTGTCTAGACCTCTCCTCTGAGGGTCTCGCCACCTCTCCCCAGCACATTGCCACCTCTAGAGATCAGGACAGCTCCCTCCGAGTAACACCACAGAAGGCAGCTGGCCGGGTTTTCAGTGTGAACAATTTGGGGTACTTCAAACCTACATTTTTTTCCTAGACCATCATCAAACAGCCTTTTCCCTGCATAGTAGAGTATCAGGTGCCAGTGCTCTCAGTGTAGCTGTGCACCCTCTGCGTCACACTTTGTTGCCTCAGGTCTACACAGAATGTGGGTTCTATTGAGCAAAAAGTAATTGGCTGCCACATTTGCCACACTAACATCTGCCTATATACCTGTCTCCTGTTGCTACTTGGAGCAGCCCTGTAGGCAGCTGTGTGAGGTAGACCCATTCTCCCCTTGTCCATGCCAGTGAGGATTGGGCCTCACCAGCAAGTATGATTTTGTCTTTTCTGCTTTGGCCTCCGTAGCTCTGCCTGCAAGAAGATCTGTAGAATTATCCTGACTTCCAGAGTGAAAGGGGTTGTTGTTCCTGGCCATGTGGTGCTCATATGTGTCCTGGTCAGGGGAGTGTTCTACCTGGTGGGCATTGATGCACCATCACTTCCAGGAGCCCCAGTGGCACCCTGTGGGTAGCTGTTCTGAAAGGATTGCTGTTTGTTGATGAATGTCCTGCAGGATAATTTCTTTCCTTTTTTTTTTTTTTTTTTTTTGAAACAGCATCTGGCTGTGTCACCCAGGCTGGAGTGCGGTGCACTATCTTAGCTCACTGCAGCCTCTGCCTCCTGGGCTCAATCAATCCTCCTACCTCATTCTCCCAAGTAGCTGGGACTATAGGCACATGCCACCATGCCCAGCTACTTTTTGTAGAGACAGAGTCTTGCTGTGTTTCCCAGGCTGGTCTCATACTCCTGAGCTCAAGCAATCTGCCCATCTCAGCCTCCCAAAGTGCTGGGATTACAAGCATGAGCCACTGTGCCCAGCCATAACAGTATTTCAAACTTCTCTACACTTAACTTACTGTGAGATTTTGGGGGAGTCATTTGTACCCTACAGCAGTGCTCCACTTATAATTCAGCAGTGGCTGCCATTCACCGGCTTATTGCACTGAGCTCCCGTCATTGACCTCTCGTTGACTCTTCATGCCACTCTGAGGATGGTCTTTTCCTTACTCCTGCTTGACCCACAGAGCTAGAGAGAGGTGGAGCCAAGGCGTGAACTCAACCCTGTGGGTCTACAGAGCCCACGTGGCCCCTTTGCCCTACTAGGTGTCTTCTGCATTTAGGATGTCATTCATCCTGAATGACAGTATTGTAGCCCTGTGGAACAGGTGATCTCTCCCTTCTATAGAGAGGAGAGAACCTCAGAGAGCATGTGCCTTGCCTTAAATCCTGTAGGTGATTAGGGGCATGGCTGAGATTGGACCCCCAGTCTGTGCTGCCTCTACTCTGTGTATCCTGCCTCCCTCTGAGGCAGCAAGAGACGACAGAACTTACGAAAAATTAAAGTGTGAGACAGGCAGGAGGACCTATAAGGTGTGAGAATCATGTCCAGGACAGAGTACATGGTTGGTACCCTAGGGCCTACTAGCTATAATTTGAGTTCTTTTGGTCCAAGGAATGTGAGGCTCCCATCCCTGTTTCCCTTCAGTGGACGAGCACCTCTTGAAGCCATGGATATCTTAGGCATGGACCTGGCAACTGCCTAGTGAATGTGGGAAGTGAACCTGAGGTCTGTCAGGTGCAGGAAATGGCCAAGGGCCCTGTGGCAGCATGAGATGAGTGACTGGCAGCTCAGAAACCATGGAGTGGACTGACTGGTCCCACCTGCACTGCTCTGACCCTGTGCTGGCACTGAGCAGCAAAGAGAAAGCAGATCTTCAAAGACTGTATGTCAGTAAGGGAAACAGATATGTCAATTACATATCCATTACAGTGTAGCATAATAGGGACCACAGGGAAATAGAAATCGGGCACAGAAGGGCCCAGGAGACAGAGTAACAAAATTTTGGGGAGGATAATGGAGCCTTTCTGAAGATGGCAAATTCCAAGATGCCTTTTAAATGACAAGTAAGGTAGCCTCGGGGAATCAAAGTAACTTGGGTGAGTTATTTTCCCTCTTTGAGCCTCAGTTTTCCACGTTAAAAGAGGAGTACCAGGCCTGCTCTCAGGATTATTATGGCAAACAGTTATGGTAATGATTATCAAATGCCTGGCACAGTGCTTGCATGTTGTCAGTGTTCAAGAAATGGTACCTGCATTTGTTTTTAATAAAATTGTTGCTGATAATTATAGGCAAGGTTGGAGGACAGTTAATAACCTCCATGTCCTGACAGTCTCAGCCTGCACAAATGGGACCTCCTCTATGCAAGCTGGTTTGTAACAGGGTTGAGAATGTTCTGCAGCAGTGGTTTCCAGCTTGGGCCTCTCATTAAGGATTCTGAAGATTGTAATGGGGGGGGATGTGGTCTGTAAGGTATTTATTGTATTTCAGTGGAATTCACAGCTTTGATTCTGTGATGCTACATGAGCTATCAAGAGGAGAAATCATGCCCTGCCTGTCTTTGTGTCCCCTGCATTTAGCATAGGACCTGGTAATTTTAGTGTATCAGCCTATCCATCATTGACCTTAAAGTCTCCCATTTTGCCAAAGCTGTGTGTTTACTCTGACAGATTCTGCTTCTTAAGCATTTGGTAAATCCACATCCTCTTCCTCATCCCTCCTAAACACCACCTAATCTAAGCTTTTATTTTCCTCCTGCATTATTAGCAGCAGACTCAAGACTGGTTCATTGACTCCAGCCTCATCCCTCCAATCTTTCCTCCTCATGCCCCAGGGTGACCTTTCTAAAAACATAAACTCCATTTCCCACCTACCTAAAACTATTCCATCAGTGAATGTAATTTTTCAAAAAAACGTTTAAGGACAAAAAAAATTCTCCTATAACTTCCCGTTACCTAGAGATTCAAGGCAACTTCCGTTTGTTGGCTTTGAAATCAAACAGACCTGTTTTCACATCCTGACTTCCTCACTTCATGTGCATGTGACCTTGGGCAAAATTACTTCAGCTCCCTAAGCCTTAATTTCCGTATAAGGTTGTTTGAGAATTAAATGTAATATATATAATATATTTAAAACATCTATCAGCACAATCGACAGTAGCTGATGATGATGAATTACGGATGTGAATTATGATCAGCATGGCATTCAGGCCTCCTTCATGATATCCCCCTGTTTTTGTTTTTCCATAGCTGTGTTTCTCTCCCCTCCCTGCTTTAAACTCTGTACTGCAGGTTTTTAGAACTGTTAACGGTTGTCCCAAATTTACACGTTGTTTCATAACTTCATACTTTGTGTACAGCATTTCTTTTGTCCCAATGTCTTACCTCATCTATTAATCTCTTACTCTTCAAGACCTGCTCTCAAGTATTTAATCTCACACACACACACACACACACACACACACACACTTACACACACAGAATCTTTTCTGACCTTCACATAGATTTGACCATATCTTTCTCTGTCCCCACAGCCCCTGTGTACCTTGTTTAAGTGTACTGATTTATTACCCATTTCCCTTTTACTTGTGAGTTTTTTGGGGGAGCAGTAATTGAGTTTTATTCATCTTTGTTTTCCAAGGATCTAGCAGCCACTGAATAGATAGATGGAAGGATAGAAGGCACATATGGATTGGGTTATTATGGTAGATGAAATATTGTAAAACATGGCATCTATGCTGGAAATTTTATTAAAAGGGGCTTTGGCCCAGACATAGTGGCTCATGCCTATAATCCCAGCATTTTGGGAGTCTGAGGCAGAAGGATTGCTTGAGGCCAAGAATTCAAGTTTGCAGTGAGCTGTGATTGCACCACTGCTCTCCAGCCATGATAGAATAATTGGAACTGGATTAATCCTCCCACAATTAACAATTAAAACTCTGGGCAAATATGAAAACAGCTGTTTTCACATGTTGGACAGCAAACAAGACAAGATTGTTATCCCTGAGTGAAAGGAAGCCAGTGAGGTGAGGCCTACTATCCCACTGGCTTTCTGCCTTGAGGCATTTTGTGGATACTGGTACTAGAAGGGGAATCCCCAGCAAAGCACAACAGTCTTGGGGAGCTGAAAGGTTAAAGAACAGTTTGAAGAGGAGATG